ACACTTCCTTTTTTAACAAGGAGCTTCTGGAAGTTTCGTTATACACCAGGCTCACACACACACACACACACACACACACACACACACACACAGAGGTGGGGGCAGTGTGAAGAAGGAAGGATCAGAACAGCTCCCACTGCTGCTGAGAAAGGGGTCAAAGGATTTCCTCTTTGTTGGTTGATTTAAGGCCCTGGGCCTGGGCTCCTCCACAGAACTGGAAATTGGACTCAAGAGTGTGCTCTGTCCCTGCCTCACTCTCACAGTCTGAAATGAGCTAAAACAAACCACTGGAAGATCTTGGGCTTCCTGTTACACAGAGAGAACCGGGGTGCCCTGAGTTTACAGTCTGTGTCCCGCATAGGTTCAGAACAACTAAGAGCTGTAGGGTAGTTGTGAAGTTGGGCTGTGGCTGGGTTTTCATATAATCACTGTTTTCATACAGATAAAATGTGTAAGTCCATACAACCAGCAAAGCTTCCTAAAGATGCTTTTATTTACAATCTATGTGAAATCAAGAACATTAGTCACCAAGGTGAGTGTTATGATTATCATCTTGGTTGCTATGGGAATTGTAGAGTTGACTGGGTACATGTTAACTCCTTCCCAGGACACAGCCTGTAGCCAATAAATAAATAAATAAATAAATAAATAAATAAATAAATAAATAAGAGAAATTAAATTCTCTGGCCTGGAGATAGAGTACTTGCCTACTATGCATGAGGCCCTGGGTTCAATTCCAGTACCATTGCAGCCACTGGCATCCAAACCAAACACAGAAAAAGAACAGAAAGAAGGAAAGAAGAAGAAGAAAGAGACAGTAAAGAAAGAACCTTATGAGATGGTACCCAGGTCTCTGTGAAGACTCAAGGCCCTGAGAGAAATGCTGTTTGAAAAAAAAAAAACCAGGTAGCTCCTGCCAGGGCCTCATACTTTACAAGTGCTTTCAAAGAGATGACAGGCCAAGCAAAGAAAGAGCTTTCTTAAGTAAATATCAAATCAATTTAAGGAACAGATCCATGGAAATAAATCATTTACAGAAACAGGTCCTACCTGTGGATTCTTACACGAAACACACTAAACGCTAGGCCTCAAGAAAACCGGTGTAAACAGATTCTAAAATGACTCCGTCTCCTCACACACAGTAAGAAGTAACGTGTTCAAACAAACCCTGCAAAACAAAGGTTTTCAAGATATAAAAATTCATAAGCCTTTCTTATCAGAAAGAAGGTGAAGGAATATTGTGGTATTTTTACAGCGTGTTTGCTTTAGCGTTTGTCATGGAGTTATCCTGTGCAAAGGGAAGGTTTGGAATGCGGTGTAATTACTTTCCCACCTACTTCTGTCACAAGGTCTACTTAAAGGGCAATTTCTTTTCTTTAGTTCTTTAAATGCTTCCAAAAAAGATATCTTAAGGTCAAGAAACTCCAACAATGTGCAAATATCTTTCAGGAGTAGTCGATTTCCCCCTGGTACCATTAGGGGAGGGTTTATTGTAGTCAGTCGAAAGCCAGTCTGTGGAGGGTAATGTTTCTGTTTACCCTGGGACCGTGTTAGTAATCAGAACCAGGAACAGAACCAGGCAGAAGCAGGTGTGGGGTTCTCAGTCAAGCAATCTTCACTTGGATTCTAAAGGGTGTCAAAATGCCACATCACACAAATTTTGAAACACACTTGTGTGATACACACACACAGACACACACACACACACACACACACACACACACACACACCCCTCAAGTTTTTGAGGCTTTGTAATATTAACAAACTTCTATTATAGGATTCAAATAATCCATCGTGTGTGTGTTATGAGATTTAGCAGCTAAAGATTTTTTTTCTGTGTTTTCTGCAAATCAGTCATTTTGATATGGCATTGTATGATATCATTTTTCCTTCAAGTACCTTTTCACTAACAAATCTAGTAAACAAATTAATACTCCTGTCTTCTCAGGAGTATTAGGAAATTAGGAAATCCCCCTGTGATGTCTGGTCTCAAACAGGTACAAATCACAAATAACTTAGTTGGTACCAGATACTAGAGGGTGAGGGATCGGTGACAAGATAGAACAGAACAGACGGGTCCTCAAAATTGGACAGCAAAAGGGGTCTCTTGGTACTGATGAAACAGTCCCAGATCCTTCTTGTGGTGGGATTAAAAGTGGAAACTACAACAAATCTACTTTGGAACACCTTAATTGATTTTGCAGCATTCCAAGCAATTAGGTCTGGGTGACACCTGCTATATACCTTGCAAGGACAAGAACCTGTGCTGTGGACGAATGAGGCTCAGCTGGTATGATTGGCTGTCTTAGCTAACTGATGCAGTGTGTTTATAATTAGGTTATAATTCACTGCATATGGAAACAGCTTCAGGACAAACAAAGTGTACACAAAGGCACTTGAGGAAACACTGGGTTCTACTTAACCATGTTTCCATGGATCCTCACATGAAGCCAAAGTTGTCAGAACTATACCTGTGTATCTGCACATGCACATGTAAGTAAACTGAAAGGTCCAATAAACTTCTGTAATAGCCTGATAGTGTATTAATATTAATTTATCAGGTTTGATGAGATTTGATAATTATGTAAAAGCGTTATTCTTTGGGGGAATACAGAGTTGAATACAAACTACATGGAACTGTTTCTACTGTTGTACTTCTTATGACCCTTTTCTCAAAACATGATCCAGCTATGTAGCCCAGGCTAACCTCCAACTCATGACCTACCAGCCTCAAACTCCTTAGTTGTTGGATTGCAAGTATGCACTACCACCATTTGCTATGAAATTATTTCAAAATAAAATATTTAATTAATGGAATACCAGGCTTCATTTTCATGGAGCTTGCACTATACTCTGGTGGGAGAGATAAATTAGCTGACAAAATCATCACAGATTGTTTTATTTGTTTCAAGAACTCCTTTGTTGGTTTGGCTGATTGATTAGTTGGTTAATTGTTTTTTTTTTTGCTTTTTTTTTTTTTTTGACTGTCCTAGAACTCACTCCGTAGAGCAGGCTAGTCTCCAACCTGGAGATTTGCTTCCATATGCCTCCAACTCTCAGTTTAGTTGGTTAATTTTTTTTAATAAAAAGGACTATATTATGCCACATTAAATGTTAAAATGTAAAATATTGGAGTAGTCATATTAATAGCAAAGCAAAGATTAGAACAAGAAACATCACAAGACATAAAAATGATACATTATGTGTTGGTGGCACACACCTTTAATCCTAGCTCTCAGAAGGCAGAGGCAGGTGAATCTCTGTGAGTTTGAGGCCAGCCTTGATCTACAGAATGAGTTCCAGGACAGCCTCCAAAGCCACAGAGAAACCTTGTCTCGAAAACAAACAAACAAACAAACAAACAAACAAGCCAGAAAAAGAAAACATGATAAAGCATCTCAGATAACTTAGCCCAATTATGTTATGTTATGTTATATAGTTGTACTTGTATATTATACTCTGAGCACACAAAACACTGTTTCTTCAAGTACACATGAAACAGTCAACAAGTCAACACATACTCAGGGGAACAAAACAAATCAGAATGTTTTTTTTTCCCCAGCTGGGGACCAAACCCAGGACCTTCTACCACTGAGTAACTGATTGATTTTGTTCTGCTTTATTTGTTTGTTTTATTTTTTGTACTTGTCTATTTGCTTTTTTGTTTTTGGTATTTTTGGTGTTGTTGTTTGTTTGTGTCCTTTTGAGGATTGTTTGTTTTCTAGACAGGGTTTCTCTGTGTAACAGCCCTAGCTGTCTTGGAACTTGCTCTGTAGACCAGACTGGCCTCCAACTCACAGAGATCCACCTGTCTCTGCCTCCAAAGCGCTGGGATTAAAGGCCCCTGCCTCAAAAAGAGTAATGATATTATTAAACATCTGGATAATCCTGCCATGGTGAGTGTAACAAAAGCATCGTAAGTCAGCACACCTGAGGCTCTTACAAGCCCGTATTCATGGCTGCACTGTTCACGGCAGCCCACTTATAGATCCGTTGATGAACAGATAAAGAAAAAGTGGTCTCTATACACAATATTTTTCAGCCATAAACAAGGACAGTTATAGCAATTTCAAGAAAAACAGATGGAGCTATGGATCATCATGTTAAACAAAAGTGTCAGACTCAAAAAGAAAAACACCACGTTTTTAACCTCATAAGTAAAACTTTTATTAAAAAATAATAATGATTATTTAGGAAGAGGCGAGGAGGGACAAGAAAGGGTGATGGGTAGGACTAAGGCTATATTTCAGTTGGAAGAGAGCTCACCCAGCAGGCAGAAAGTCTTGGGCTCCATCTCTAGCATGTGCAAAAGCAGCCATGATGGTGCAGGAACTCAAGAAGTGGAAGCAAGAGAATCAGAAGTTCAAGGTCATACTCAGCTACACAGCAAGTTCAAAGCCAACCTGGGCTATATGCATACTAAAAAAATAAAGCAATAAAAGTAGAAGAGCAAATACAATCAAAGTATACTATACACATATGTGGACATGGCATAAGCAAACTCATAGTTGAATGCTACTGACATTTATTAACAAAACCAAATAGAAAATTTTTTTTATTTAAGGTTGTTAGAATTTGCCTTGCATCAGTCAGTCTTGGTGGCACAGGCCTGTAATCTCACACACTTGGAAGGCTGATGCAGAAAGGTTGCAAGCAAAAGGCCTACACAGTAAATTAAGAATACTAGGGATATAACTTGGTGGTAAAGGTACTTGTTAGTTACATGCAAGGCCTTGGATTCAATCCCCAGCACTGAAAGCAAACATTTCATATACATACATACATACATACATACATATATATATATATATATGCATATTATATATATATAATTATAAGTGCAATAAAGATCAACAATGAAAACTTTTAACCTAAACCAGGAATTGATACCTTATAACTTTAATACATAGATTATAAATTTAATTTTAATACCTTGAAGTCAATTTTGATATATTTGAACTTAATTCTCAATAACCTTCCTCTGTATAAAGGTCACTGTCATACTTACCAGGCTGAGGAGATGCCATGAACACGAAGGTGTTTTCCCAGGATGAAGCTTATCCATTGCACTACAAATGTGCTGACCCCTGTGATTTCCCCAAATTCAGGAAACCTGACATCATAATTAGCAGTACTGGGGGACTGCATTCACTCTCTCCTTAAGGAAAAAAAAAAAAAAAAAAAAAAAAAAAAGCTACTCTCAAGGAGAAAGACAAGGTCCAGAGATGGCTGAGCAGGTAAAGGCCCTTTGCTGTCAAACGTGACAACCCCAAACCCCAAAGGAGAGTTAACTCCCACAAGACATCCTCTAAGTTCCACAAGCTCTCCATGGCATGCACTCCCCATACATACGCTCACATATAAAATGATAGTAAAACAACAAAATAGAAAAGATATAAAAGAAAGGAAACCACCTGAGAGTGACAGCTTTGGCACTGAGTTACCAAAAGGGTTTGCAGTAAGTAACAGTCTTATGTGCCTTGGAGGGAAAACCATGGTTCATGGAACCCATCAGAACAGAGAGAGAAACCCACTTTTGCCAGTTTATCTAAGGGATTGGCTTGTCTTTGAGGATATCTGTGGAAATACATGCTAAATTTGGGGTGTCGTCCATAAAAATAAGCCAGAAAGAAAACCAACTTCCCACTACTAGGAGCACCTTCAAGTCTTTACAATCTTTCCCACACAGTTGCTATACATTTACCTCATTGTTATTTACATGAAATGTTGTAAATTTCTGGTTGGGTGGTGGCGGCGGTGCACCATTCCAATCCCAGCACTGGGGGGGGGGGGGCAGAGGCAGGCAGATCTCTGTGAATTCAAGGTCAGAGTGATCTACAGAGAGAGCTCCGGGACAGGCTCCAAAGCTACACAGAGAAACCTGTTTCAGGGTTTAAAAAAAAAGTAAATTTCTGTCACATATCTCCTCCCCAACAAACCACATACTCCTCCCCACCACATTGGGGACCTTTTTTTTTGGGGGGGGGGTTCAAGACAGGGTTTCTCTGTATTGCTTTGGAGGTTTTCCTGGAACTTGCTCTGTAGATCAGGCTGGCTTCAAACTCACAGAGATCCACCTTCCTCTGCCTCCCGAGTGCTGGGATTAAAAGCCTGCAGCACCAAATGTGCAGTTTCCATTCATTTTTAATAACCAGAGCTTTTAATTTTTTCTTTAAACTGCTTGGGAAGTTAACACATCTTGTCATCCTTTCTGGGCAAACCCTGTCATACGTTTCATGGACCTGAGATTAAGCCTAAGATTTTTTTTTTTTTCCAGACAGGCTCTTCACAAATACAAACAGTAACCCAATTGGCTTCATGCCTTAGCTTCCTAGATTTATCCAGTCCTATGTGGACCTCTGACCTGCTTTCTAGTTGTTTACACTGGCCTTGACCTGGCACTCACAGCCGTAGGGCACAATTTCTGGCATTTCCCACAGACTCCACCCACCTCGACTGCACACCAAGTCTGTCAAGGAAGAGCACTAGACCTCAGAGCCCGGAAGACTATTTGGAAATAATTCTGGCTTACTTGGCAATCAGACTTCAAAGACTACCCAATAACCATCAAACATTAACTGAACTTTGTGTTCAAGGTCCTCTACTGAAAATGAGGAGTTTTAACAAAAATAGATGAGATTCCTACAGTTATGGGGGGAAGGAATTGCCAAAGTGGTCTTACAGAAAGGGCATCTGTGAGGTGCCACAGAGGTCCCACAGAATCAGATAAAAGCTGGAGCAAGCCAGTGGGAGAAAAGACTTCCCCCTGACTGTGGAGTCAAGGTGGAATGTCAGTGAGTAGATCAACCTGACTCCATGACTGCTCCAATGTCAGGGACAAAAAATATTATTCAAAGACTTGGAGGGTGGGGCCGGAAAAAGTTGGCTGAGAGGTTAAGAGCACTCATTGCTCTTGCAGAGGACCTGGTTTCAGTTCCCAGCACCCACGCGGTCACAACCATCTGCCATTCCACTTTTAGATCCAAAACCCCCTTCTGACTTCCCTGGGCACCAGGCACACTGGGACACACATGTGTTGCACGTAAACATGCAAGCAAAACACTGGTCTTTTGATTGTGTTGGTTGTTTGAGCAGCTTGGGCCTTAAGGAGTCTGGGGTGCACATGGGATATGAGGCCATGTCCAACTCGATGAAAGAGGGCAGCACAGAAAACCGTGAGCTAGACTCGTAGAATTGAGATCTGTCAGCACACACAGGTTTAAGAGTGAAAGTGTAAGACCCTCAGAAAGCTGAGGCTTCCAGAATCTTAGCCCAGGACGGTGGCCACCCCAAACACAGAATGGAGGCGAAAGCTTGATGCAAACTGCACGAGGCTTTATTGTAGTTTAACGAACTAACCCCATGTTAGCTCGGGTCTT